AATCATTTAGTATTAATTAACTTTTTGCATTTCATATTATACTCAAAGAAATAAGATTAAGGAAAATGACTGTTTCTTCACTAATCTTTTTAATATTCTAATGTCACTCTTGGCTATACTATATCATAATTCTCATGACGTGGAGATAACTCAAATGCATAAGATCCATCATATTTAGCTGCTTTGCCTTACAATTGGTCAAAATGAACAAGGTTTAGTGAAGAAAAATGCAAGTTTATAAAATTTAAAAATAATCCAAAACTAAACCTAACTGTTTTGGGTTTTGGTTAAATGTTACTATAAACTTGCATTTTTCAGCAAGAAACCATGTTAATTTTAATGTATTGATCACTCCGTCAGGTTAAATATGTTGATTGGATCTTTAGTTTTAATATTAAATTAGCATTTCCATATATTCTCATGACGTAGAGAATACTCAAATGCATAAGATCCATTCTATTTAGCTGCTTTGCCTTACAATTGGTCAAAATTAACATGGTTTAGTGAAGAAAAATGCAAGTTTATAATAATATCATAACCAAAACCCAAAACAGGTAGGTTCATTATCCAAAATTAAGAAATGACAATAGAAGTACTCTCATCCAGAAAGCCATAACATAATAAGAAGTCAAAAAATTCGAAAATAAGAACTTAAGATGAAATTGAGAAATGCAAAATAAAATCCAAAACATAAAGGTTCTTTAACAAAAATTAAGAAATGCAAATAGAAGTACGCTCAGCTTGAAAGCCATAACAATAATAGGAACTTAAATAATTTAAAAATCTTCAACGGATCACTCGCCCTTAATTTTCTTCTGGGATGGTTTCTTGCTGACGGAGTGTTGATCCTCAAGGCTTGTGTCATGATCTTCTCGATCTTCTTGGCTTTTTCTTTTAGACAAAGGAGTGACTGAAAACTCACCAGAACCAAAGGAAATAGCATCCGAGTTCTGCAACATTACGAACAAAGACATAAATCTCAGTAAGTAAACACTATGTTATATTTAGTTTTTAACTCCTGTGGCAATGAAATCATTAGTTCCAATACCTCTGGTTTAGGAGGTAAAGCAGCAAATTCCTCAACCATTTCACGATCTTCGGTGGCCAATCGAACTACATACTGCGAACTCTTTCCCTTGATGTTGTCAGCATCAACTGATACCTCAAAAAGGAATCGCTTTCCACAAAGGTCGGTAACCGCTTGGGGTAAGACATCGGGATCTTCATTCTACGATCATATATAGTCGGTTACAGTGTAGTTATAGAACCAATCACATTATACAATATTATTAATTAATAAAAATACCTCATCATAAAGTTCAGCGGCAGGATGATGGACAATAAGTTGAGCGTTAGCGTCAAACAAAAGAAACTTTGCCTCACCTGAATCGTCCTTAACATTTGCAATTAATTTGAACCTGAAAAAAACATAAATATAACATGATACCCAAACTTTATATGTCCCTCGTAATAATTGAAACAGTCAGTTTTGAATACATTACCTTGAAATGACCTCAATGTGCTCCTTATCGCATGTAGTGCAGAAGAACAAGGGACGCTTAAGCGAATCAACATTGGTTGTTG